GACTCTTTGGTCATAATAATTTTTACCATATAATTTGTTTGATCTCTAAAATATGTTAAAATCCTAAGATTAATTTTATCTTTACTTATATTAGATTAGAATTAATAACTCTTTTTTTAAATAGATGTTTTTGTAGTTTAAAACTTTTACAATTGCGATAAGGTGGAAAAGTTATAACCATCTTTAAAATTATAAGTATTAAATTAAAAAAATTAAATCTTTATCTATCAATATTATGTTTATTATGTAGTTTAGTAAGATTTGAATTTTAAAACTTCTACAATTTTAAATTTAAATTTTAAATTTTAAACTTTAATCTGTCAATTAACTTTTTAAAATCATTTCAAGACAATTTTTTATCGTTAAACCCAAATTCAAAAGCAAATATACATTTATTTAAAGTTTTGAGTTGATTAAGATTCAAGAATGAAACAGAAATATAAAAAAATAATTATTTATTTTTCGTGAATAAAATAACGTAATATATTTTTTGAGATTATAAAATCTAATCATTTTTACTGAAGTTTGTATAACTTTTAATTTAATTAAATTTGAATTTTTCTGATGTTAAAAGGCGTCTGTCATTATTGCACGTACAATTTATCATACAAAGTTATTGATTTTGGTTATAATGAGGGAAAAAAAGTTGAACACTCGTAAAAATATACTCCTCCCTTCACTTTTGTTGATTACTATGAAAAATAAATATTTATTTCACTTATATAATTAAAATATAAGAGACAATTTATCATTTTATATCAATTTTATTCTTTCTATTAAGTATATTTATTAGTTTCGTAATGAATGAGAAGATATGATATTAAGGGTGCTATAGTATTAAAATTGTCATGTTATTTATTATTCCTTTCGTTTTGATTTATATGTGTGATTTAATTGATATGATTTATATTATTATTATTTTTAAATTCCATTGATTATGCTTTACTTAAATTGATTTACCAATATGAAATGTAATGTCGATTTTTTTATATAGTAAGCCAGTGTTCAACATCCTTCCTTATATGTATCTTCTTCTTCTTCTAGATTTTTAAAATTAGTAATAGCATCCCATCACATGTTTAATCTCTTATTTTGTCAAAAAAAAAATCAATCACATGCATATAATAATATTCAAAACCCCAAAATAATATATAATACTTAGTAGTCTTCGAATAAAGAATTCAGCAAACTGGGTCAGAAAAGAAAGCTTGAGTGAAGAAAAAACAAACTGAAAGAGCACAATAGCAAGGTAGCGATTGTGAGCTAAGAATACTTCACCGATGGCCCGCCGACAACAATCACCACCTAAGCACACACCCAAAACCGTCATACCAACTACTGGAGCAACTCATAAGCTGTCACCCCTTACTTTTGGGGATTTTCTACCTTTGAAGTACCAGGTGACAGTGAAGGAGAATGATACTAGCAGCTTAGAGGATGAAATTCAACTGGGAGATACGGACGGAAAGGACACGCCGAAGAGACGATTGCAGTTTTCCGATGCAGACATGTCTTCACAACCTACTCCTAATGCTCCAGCACAGGTGAAAGGAAATCACGGTAATGGTAAGACCCTGAACTTCATCCCTCCTGTGATTAAGGAGGGTATACTTACAGTTCAAATTGAGGAGGAGGATATCCGATTACAGGTTGAGGAGTGGGAGAATGCACTAATAAGGTATGTTATTGGGGGAAACCCTTCAGAAGCACAGATGACAGAATTTATCAGGAAGGTATGGGGTTTTGTCGGACTACCTAAGATTTTGTACCATGAAAATGGATACTATGTTTTTAAGTTCCAAAACACCATTGATAGAGAAAAAGTGATGCAAACAAGGCCGTATTTCTATGGTAGTAAACCAATGATTCTGCGAAATTGGGAGCTGGACTTTGAATTGAATGTTGAAATGTATAATCAAATTCCAATTTGGGTGAGATTTCCCAGCTTACCTGTGGGGTACTGGTCTGTTAGAGCCTTGAGTAAACTTGCTAGTGCAATTGGGATACCATTATACACTGATGGGATCACTGCAAATGCTGAAAAAATAGCCTATGACAGGGTATTGATTGAGGTGGACTTGGCTAAGAGCTTGCCTAATGTCATAGTGGAAACACCTACTGGTCCATGGGATCAAAATATTGAGTATGAATGAAAACCCAAATTTTGTAATCAACGCATTAGACTTGGACATGATGAGAAGGACATGGGAGAGGGAGTAAAAGTTGACCATTGGAAGGGGAAGATGAAGGATGTTAATAGGAAATTGGTGGCCAAATGGATGCCTATCAAACCTCAAGATGCAAGTGAGGTTATACAAGAGGTACACCAGATTCCTACAGATCAACCTGTGATAGATCCTGGCCAAAGAGAGGGTAAGCAACTTGTTGAAGAGATAGCAGATGACACAATGATTGAAGAGGTAGCAATGCAGGGTAACTGAAAGAGTGCTGGCAACTATATGCCATTCCTTCCAACATGATACTCACTACTTGGAATATAAGGGGCCTTAATCAAGGCCACAAACAGAAAGAGCTGAAACTCTTTCTGAATAAACATAGAATAGATATAATGGATTGCCTGGAAACAAGGGTTAAGGTAAAGAGAGTTGCACATATTATTAACAGAGTAGCATATGGTTGGTCTAGTGTAAATAATTACAAGGATGATGCAAATGGAAGAATATGGCTTATGTGGAAATCAACATTGAAGGTACAAATACTTTATATACAGGAGCAATTCATTCATTGCCTAGTTGAAGAACCAGAACTCCAGCTGAGATGATATTATATTGTTGTCTATGCTAGGAATGAAGTGCAGAAGAAAGAAATGTTATGGCAGAATCTTATGCAATTAACTTTGCAGAACCAACTTCCTTGGATTATAAGTGGGGACTTTAACAGTGTGTTGAGTTCTGATGATAGAATGGGATCTCCTGTCACTCAACAAGAGGTGCAGGGATTCCAAAATGTTATAGATCATTTGCAGCTAACACCAATAAAGGGAGTGGGATGGCATTTTACTTGGTGCAACAAACATGGAGGAAATAAGAGAGTCTACAGTAAGATTGATTGGGCCTTTCGGAATATGGTTTGGCTGCAACAGTTTGGACATATAGAGGCAGAATATTTGAATCCTTCAGTATCTGACCATTCTCCCATCCTGATCAAATGTAAGCAGTATTACAGCATTCATCCAAGGCCATTTAGGTTTTTCAATAACATGATGGAGCATCCTGATTTTGCTGAAAAACTGAGAAATGCTTGGGGTGATAGTGTGGAGAAGATTAATATGAAG